ACTTTGTTGCGAGACAGATAGTTGAACGATATTTTATACAATGTCTATACCCAGGTATGGATTTATTTTTGTCCAAGTTTTATATTGGTCCACTATTTTAAATGCAGTTCAAACAGACATGTATTAAATTGTATGTTCCGTTTTAATTTGGTTCAATCTGTATGTTGTAGCGTAGAAAAGCATCAATACTATTTTCGAAATTCAAAGTTCGAAAGTTCGAAAATTAAAGTTCGAAGTTTTATAGTCTTCTCCAAACTCCATTGCCATTCACTGATTCATAAATTCGCCTTGGTCCTTTTCTTTCGAAACAGCCTAACATGCTTTCATTATTTTCTATTACACTCCAGGTATCTCAACCATATGTTAGGACTGGGCGTATTATTGTATTGTAGAGTTTTATTTTTGTATTTCCCGATATATCTGTGATTAAAGAAGTAGATTGAGCCCAAAATAGTATTTGTTGGCCGTGCAAATTTTCTGGTTTATTTCTGCAGTAGTATTATTTTCAGTGTTAAGGAGCGCCTCCAGGTATACAAATTCGTTCACTGTTTCGCTGACGTAGTTTTCTATAACAAGTGGTCGTAGTATTTGTGCTTGCGTGCTTATTTTCATATACCTCGTTTTGTTGATGTTTATTATTAAACCCATTTTTGTAGCTGATTCTTTTATTCCTACACACGCCTCTCGTACAGCGCTTTCCGTTCTTCCAACAATATTGAGATGGTCACCATAGGCCAGGATTTGCACTGATTTATTATATATTGAACCAGTGGTTATGATTTGTGATATACCTATTACTTTTTTACAGCTCGATTGAACAGTATACAAAAAAGAGGGTCTACTTGGCGCAGCCCGTTATGTGTTTTAAAAGGTTCAGACAGTTCCCCCTAAATTCGCACTCTACATTCAAGTGTTGTTAAGTTTACCAACTGATTTGGTATTTCTAGCTCTTTCATTGCTTTGAATATTTTTATTCTATTCACAGAGTCGTAGGCTGATTTGTAGTTTATAAATATGTGATGAGTATCAATGCTATATTTCAGTTTTTTCCAATATTCGTTTTAGAATTGCAATCTGATCTCCATCTCTGAAACCAGCCTGGTATTTTTTACTATCCGTTTTTTATATGGTGCCATATAATGAAATAGTACTATAGATAATTTTTTTATACGCTGTTTCCTATTTGTGTATGGTCCAAAGTATTCTAATCATTGGGGAAGGGATTTCTGTGTCTATATTTTTTTTATAAGCTGCTGTAATGTCATTATGGTATCCTTGCCACCTTCTTTATATAGTTTAGCTGAAAGTTTATCTATTCCAGGTGATTTGTTTCTGGCTAGTTTTTTAACGCATCTTTAACTTCAAGAAACCTTGGTGGTTCCTCTTCTCTCTCACCTGTTCACCTTACCATCTCTTGCGTCTTCCAGGTTTTCTTTTTCTTCCTCTATATTAAGTGCTTCGTTAAATTATTCCACCCATCTATTCAATACATCTTTGCTTGTTGTTAATAGGTCGCCATTATGACTTCTGCATTGTCTTATGGTTGTCCTGAATTATTTTCTGTCGATGTTAACTTTTTTATCAAATGCTCCGAATTCTATCTCTCTGTTAACGTTTTCTATATATTTAAGTTTCTTATTTAAGTGGTTTAGTTTTTTTTGTGTATTCTCTTTTTTCTCTTTTCTTTGCTTGGTAATTCTCTACAGTTGTTCTAGTTCGTTGGGTAAGCATCTTTCTGTGGGCTTCATTTTTTTCTTTTGTTGCAGTCATCGGCAAATCAATGATTTCTACGAGCACAAATTTGTGTTCCTATTTTCTCTTTCACTGCTGCTTCAATGTTCTCCTTTATTCTGGTCCAGTATTTGTTTTTCATTTACATTTTGATTCCTTAGCCTGTTGGTGATATTTCCAAGTACGGTTCTGCAATTGTCACATCTCTTAGCTTTTGCACATTCCATTCTTTTATCCATTTTATGTTCTTTCATCATCATCACTGGCTCGATAACCCTTTTTGGGTCTTGGCCTGTTCAAGAATTCTTCTCCAGTCCGACCTGTTTCGTGCTTTTTTTTTCCAGTTTTTAATTTTTAATGTTGTTATATCATTTTCTATTTGTTCTACGTATCTCAGCTTCGGTCTTCCTCTTGTTCTTTTTTTTTTTCCTACTGGCACTTGTTTGAATATTTTGTTTGGTATTTCGCCTTCCTCCATTCTTTCCACATGTCCAATCCAACGTAGCCTTCCTATTTTAATGAATGTTATGATATCCGGATCCTGGTATATGTTGTATAGTTCAAAGTTATACCTTCTCCGCCAAATCCCGTTTTCTTTTGTGCCCTTATATATGTGTCGCAAGATTTTTCTTTCAAAGGTGGCTAATAACGTTTCCTCCCTTTTAGAGATTGTCCAGGTTTTTGAACCGTATGTGAGTACCGGTCTTATTAAGGTTTTGTATATTTGGCATTTTGTTTTTCTGGAGACGTTATCTGATCTTAGTTGCCTAATTAAGCCATGGTAACATTTATTGGCAATAAATATTCTCCTTTTCACTTTCTCTGCAACATTGTTATCAGACGTTACTAGGGATCCTAAGTATGTAAAGTTTTTTACCGCCTCAATGTTGTATTCTCCTATTATTAAATGTGGCAGCTGCCTTATTTGTGCGTTTTTATTTGCAGGCATATATTTTGTTTTTGTCTGATTGATTTTAAGACTACTATTTTTTGCAGCTCGTCTTATTTGAGTGAATGCCTCTATCATTTCTCTTCTTAATCTTGCGATTATGTCAACATCATCTGCAAATGCTAGTACTTGCACGCTTTTATTAATTATTGTTCCTCGGGTATTAACTGTTGTGTCTCTTATTATTTTTTCAAGTATGATGTTGAATAATATGCATGATAGAGCGTCTCCCTGGCGTAGTCCCTTCTTCACATCTATTGTTTCCGTTAATTCGTTTTGTATCCGGATTTTACTTTCTACTTTCAGTGTTTCTTTTATCAATTCTATTAGCTGTGTTATTTTATGTGCTTTACTTTTATTTAAAATTCTAGCCCTAAATATTGAGATCACTAGGCAATGATCTATGTTTGCGCTTCTACAACTTTGAATTTATTATGTCTTTTCCTAAGTGTCTAAGTTTCCTAAGTGTCTTATGTCTAAGTATTCTAACCGAAGAAGTTATGCGGGCAATAAAAGACGCAAAGAACAACAAGGCACCCGGCGAAGATCTAACAACAGCCGAACATTTTAAACACCTGAGTGATGATGCTGTCGGGAAATTAACCTACCTCTTTAACATTATATATGAACATGACACTCAGAAAGGTATCTCGAGGTTCAAAAACAGCTGTATGTGTGCTTTGTCGATTATAGAAAGGTCTTCGACCGCATTAGACACGAAAAATTGATTAAGGTGCTAAAAGAAGTAGGGCTGGACGGACACGACATAGCTATAATTAGCAATACATACTGGAACCACACAGGATGTGTTCGAACAGACAACAGAAATACCAATTATGTAAACATAGAACGAGGAGTGCGTCAAGGGTGCATTCTGTCCCCTCTTCTATTTAATGTCTATGCCGGAAATATCATCAGAGCTAATCTTGAAGATCGCCCTGAAGGTGCCAGAGTCAATGGAATCATAATTAACAATGTAAGATATGCCGATGACACTGTAGTATTAGCAGAAACAGAAGACCAACTAAAAATATTGATGAACAAACTATCAGAAGTAAGTCACAGACTAGGTTTGGATATTAATTTTTCCAAAACCAAAATCATGCTATTCCACCAGAACCCCCATAAACAAATTACACCCAACATACAAATCAATGGTATCACCCTTCAGAGCTCCCAAAGCTTCATATACCTGAGCAGAGAGCTAAACAGTCAGCTAGACCACTCAAAAGAAATTAGAAAACATATTGAAATAGCAAGATCTTGCTTCATGAACATGCGTAAAATGCTCTGTAACCCAAAGCTATCAATCACAATAAGGTTAAGAACACTAAAGTGTTATGTGTGGTCTCTACTACTATATGGCTGTGAGACCTGGACATTAAAACAGTATGACGTCAACAAACTGAATTCATTCGAAATGTGGATGTACCGCCGATGCTAAGAATAAGCTGGACCAGCAAAACTACAAATAAAGAGGTACTGGAAATAATGAACACACGACCTCATCTGGTTAATACAATCAAAATTAGAAAGACGTCATATCTAGGACACATAATGCGCCATAAGAAATTTGAGCAGCTCCAGGTAATATTAGAAGGCAAAATCGAGGGTAAAAGGGGTATAGGAAGAAAGAAGAAATCCTGGCTCCGAAACATCAGAGATTGGACTCACACAACAGGAAATGACTTAATCCATCAAGCCCAGAACAGAGAGAAATTTGCATTATTGATCGCCAACCTCAATAGAGAAGGCACTTAGGAGGAGGGATGTCTTTTCCATGCCTTAAATCTATTAAGATGTGATCAATCTGACTCATTGTTCTTCCATCTGAAGAGGTCCAAATTACCTTGTGTACGTTGTGTTAAAAATAGGTTTTAACCTATACCTAATTAACATACGCATTAACTTCTGCAATTCATTACGTTTGTTCCATGAATTGAATTTATTAAGATGTGATTAATCTGACTTATGGTTCTTTCATCAGGAGAGGTTCATTATGTTGTTGTGTTTAAAATAGGTGCCAACCTATACCTAATTAATATAAGTATTATGCTTAGAAGTCCGGACTCTATTGATCATCATCCTCTACAGAAGACGCTGAATGCAAGTAGAAAAATTAAGCAATATTGTGATGACGATATTATAATTTATATTAAGGAAAATTTTTACTTGTTTCCAACCTCACCCAGATAGCTATTTAAATTAGACACTATTAGACACTTATCATATCTTGAAATTTACAATATGATAATTCTAAAACTATATAATAGCATGAACTAACTACTAATAGTCGTGTTTAATAATAGTCCTTAACATCATGAGAATTCTACTATTAGTGGGAGTTTGTGTCCTCTATAGTACAGCAAACGCTTTAAATTTAACAGGTACGTATAGCAGTTATTTAAAAAACATTTTAAAAAAAATTTCTAGCTATTCTTCTAACGAGATTCGCAGTGTTTTTACGACTTTTGTTATAAGTTAAGTAAAATCTTTTAATATTGTTTTATTTACTTCTAATACTATCTATCTATCTAATTAGCTTTCTTCGGTCCATCTTTGGACATAGGCCTCCTTTTCCATTCTTCTCTGCCTGTCGCTACAGTTATCCACCTAGAGTCCACGTGGTTTTTGGTATCATCTTCACATCTCACTGGGGCCTTCCTCTGCTTTGTTTTTAGTCCCACGTTCTCCAACTTACAAGAATTTTGTTCCATCGGTCTTCTTATTGTCTTATATTGTGCCCAGCAAATCTCTATTTCAATTTTGCAACTTCTTGCCTAACACCCCTTACTTTTGTTTTCTCTCTTATCCACTCGTTTCCCTTTTTATCCATTAGTCTCATGTGTAACATTTTTCTGTCCATTGCTCTTTGGGTTTTTATAATTTTGTTGTTAAGAATGTAGCTTAGTTTGCCAAATGCCGCCCATGCTAGTCTAATTCGTCTTTTTATCTCTGCTGTTTAGTTTCCTTTGATAAGTTTTATAATTTGACCCAGATATATATATATATATATATATATATATATATATATATATATATATATAATCCTGAACTTGTTCTATTTCATCCTGTCCCATCTTCATTGTGATATCTTTATCTGTATCTGTTATGATTTTGGTTTTGCTGTAATTCATATTAAGGCCTATCTTTCCAGCTTCTACGTCCAGTTTTGTATCATTTCAAACAATTCTTCTTTTTTATCGGTTATCAATACGATGTCATTAGCGTACCTTAGATGGTTCAAGCGTTGTCCACAAATTTTTATACCTTTTTCTTTCCATTCTAATCTTTTAAAAATATCTTGTACAGGCTAATTGAAAAATTTTTGTAATATTGTGTCACCCTGTCTCACGCCTCTATTTATTTATATTGATTTTTTTTCTTTATATACTTTAATTGCTGTTTTGGCTTCCTGTGGTCAATTCTGCTGTAAATTAAAGAACTTTTCACTGCCAAATGTTCGACACTGTCGAAAGCCTTTTCGAAACTTATGAACGCTATATATAGAGGAATGTAGTATTTATTTGATCGTTCTATAAGTATTTTCATACTTAGTAAATGGTCACTTGTGCTAAATCCCTTTCTAAAACATGCTTGTTCTTTTGACTGGTATCCGTCGAATTTTGTCGTCAATCTATTGGTTAAAATTTTTGTTAAGAGTTTATACATTACATCAAAGAGTGTTATAGGACAGTAGTTATTTATATCTATTTTATCTCCTTTCTTTCGTAGGATAATGGTTACGGATTCCTTCCAGTTGTTTGAGATTCTTATTTTTTAATATATTGTTAAAAAGGAAATGTAGAGTATTAATTACCACTTTTCCACCATATTTCAGCATGTCAGTTTATCAGTTCAGTTATTCCATCTCTTTCAGGTGATTTGTTGTTTTTCATTTCTTTCAATGCCTTCTTTATTTCTAATTTGCTTATTTCTGGCTGTAGCTCTAAGTTGACATTTTTTTTATTTTAGCCTTAGGTTGGTTTTTAATTCCTTCTAGTACCCCCTCTGTGGCTCAGTGGTAAAAGCGCCTACCTTTAAACCTAAAGGTCGTGATTTCGAATCTTATCTGGGTGGAGAAATTTTCGAAATTTTATTAAAAATTAATGAATGAAAATAATTTCTATCCTTGTGCGATCGGTACTCACCGGAGGGACCGCGATACAATTAGCGTCTCTTAGCAAAGACAATGACGTCGACTTTGCTAAGTATCAAGACAATTACTCTACACACACGCACACACACACACACACACACACACTACACTAGGTACCTGACTGTACCATGCCAATGATCATAGTTGTCGAGGCATTAACTCAATAATAAAAAAAAAATTCCTTCTGGTGGTTCCTTTTTTATTTTATGTAATTCTGAGTAGAAATGGTGGATTATATTTATGATGTCATCTTTAATGTTTGTTTCGACTCCGTTTACATCTTCTATTTTGTTTATTTAAAACTTACCTAATTTCGGTCTTTAGCATTTCATATTTTATTATTATATTATTATTATCTTATAATACTATTTTGTATTTTATTTAATTATTTTTTGGATGTTATGCAAAAATGCATAGATAGTATATATAGGCTATGTACTATGAAAGTTTAGAATAGGGAAAAAATCAATATCCTATCATAAAATATATTTGTTTCTTCTTTATAAGGATACGGTTATTATCAGTTTTTTTTAACAGCGCTTTAGTTATAGCTAAATATAAATATTTAATTTGAGTAAATTTATAAAAAAAATGGTAATTGAACTTAATGATTTTCAATGTGGAAATTTACATTTGGCTTTAACCAAAGTCGCTACATTATTTAAATAAGCAATAAGCAAAAAACTAATCTTTGTATTTTTTTTTAGCAAGCTGTACAATTAATAAATTTCAAGATGTCGATACCGTAGTTAGCCAATGCAAATCTATAAACGTTGGAAGCTTTGCAGTACCTGCTGGCGAAACCTTAAAACTACATTTACAAGCTGGTACTACTCTGAATTTTAATGGCAACATCGCTTTTGGTTACAAAGAGTGGGATGGGCCCCTCATGTGGATTAAAGGAGACGGAGTCACAGTACAAGGATCAAGCAGTAAGATATAAATATGTGAAATATATATTTTAGTTTTATTTTTAATCAAATTATAATCCATGTAAGTGATGTGGGTAATTAGATATTTGAAAATATTTAAGTACCTATCTCATTTATTCTTAAAATTGGTTTATTGCGTGTAAGTATTCGCATAATTTTAGTTTGATCCTGATCATTACTAATTGACGCTAGCATGAACGTTTATGTATTAAGTCTTTCTGTAATTTTGTATTTGTTTCGAACATAAGTTTTTGTAAAGTTACTTTGCACTTGCACTCGGTGCAAAAATTAGTCATTCTTAACTGTTGAAAAACTTGTTTACATATTTTTGTCCCAATTGTAAATGTTATTTAAATAAGCTTTGTTTTTTTTACTTTCAATTCCCGTCAAAGTCCTGTCGACTATTTTATGAACCATAAAACTGAAATCATTATATTTTTGTATAAATTAAAAAAGGAACTTGTACATTGTGTTTTAATATTTATCAAACTGATCATTTAAAATGGTGAACGGGAGCAATTTTGTAAAATTATTTTGAATACGAGTTTGTGCCTAATAATACCTCATTTTAAATATATTGTGCCAGTATATTACTAAATTTATGTGCTAATAGTGTAAGTTTATTGGGCAATAATTATTTTTTCACTGGGAGTCAGTTAGAGATAATTTTAATTATTGAATGAAGTTCTAAGTTCTTCAATTTTATGAACGTGTTTCTTGTCATTTCTATTCTAGATCTGATTTATCATTGAGAACGATATTGAATAACATAAGAGTTACAAATCACAAAAAAATTAAAATTTTTTCATTTAACAATATTAAATATTATATTAGTTAACAAATAATTTTTTCACACGGGACAAGCCACAATTTTACTTTAAAATAAGTTTACTTTAACGTTTTGACTTTCACTTTGGAAATCGTTTACAAAACGCAAATTAAACAAATTTGTTGTTTTTTATTGATAATAAAATCCTTCTATTTGAAACTTATTTTACAGTAACATAGTGGCTTATTCTCAGTAAAACTAGTAAATTTTAAATACCTTAGTAAAGTAGCTTCAGAACAATATTTACAAATTATGTATATTAATAAATGCACAAATTACATCTTTATACAAGCTCACTATAATAGTTCACTCAATTTGGGACTATTTTGACTAAATCATTGTCGGATTTAACACAAAAATTTCTACTACACCTTAATTTAAAGCGGAATTAACCTTACTATTGCAGTACTTAATTGAAAACCTTTTAGCCACTCGAAGTCAAAATTTATCCAACGAAGGAAAAAATTAGTTAGTAATTTACATAGGTAATTTAGTAGTCAGTGGGGATTGTGATCAGTTAACCGAGTCTAGCAGCTCATACTTTTTTTACACTAGCACCATTGAAAGTATTGAAAGCTGAAAATATGTATGTTTTTTCTTATAAGTCCATTTAAAATAATTTTACAAAGAAGCATTTGTCCGCGTTTGAATGATTACGTCGCTAAAACATTATAAAAAAATGTATAGATAATTTATAAAATTAATTAATTTAAGTTTAGATTTTAGAGACTAACTTTATTTTTATTTATTCTTTTTTTATTTTTGCCAACTTGTGTTTTTACCTTGTGAATAGGTTATTATGTTTTTAAGTTTGCTTCGTTCTATTTTTTCATCTTTTACGACTATTGTGGTATTCCTATGTAAAATCCTATTTGACAAGCACGTGCTGGTTAAACATTTGTTTACGTAGATTTAATCAATACTTATTGTATATAGATGGGTTCACGTCTGTTTATACATATTCCTGTTGCCAAGGTTTGTCAACATAAACGTTTTAGTGTAGTCGTCAGAGATCTGATATCTAAAACCAAGACGAACAAGCTGACTTTTAATGAGAATGTCAGTTTTTATGACTAAAAAAATTGTAAAAAGTTTGCTACTCCTTCCCCCGGGCATCACCATAAACCCGCCCTTACAGGGAGGATTTATGGGGAAAACTTTTTATTGGTACTTTTTTTTGTAGAATGAACTGTTCTCTCAGAAACAACGCTGAAAGCAACTGGTATTTTTTTAAATAAAATTTGTATGAACTCGACGAATTTTGATACTTTCTGATCAGAATTTCCTATCTACAAAAATCAAAAAATATACAAAAAAGTTTACCATTTCTATCGCCTCGTATCCTCCTCAAACCCCCTCAAAGGGGAAAATCGCTTTACCGTGAATCTGTACGCCGTAGAAAAAAAATGTTTCAATCAAGAAATGCAGCTATGATAATTTTAAACAAAAATGTTTATTAGCACTTTTTCTGTAGAATTAGCTGTTCTCTTAGAAATAACGCTTGAAGAGACTGGCGATGTGAATGTCAATTACGCAAAAGAAATTTTAAATAAAATTTGTATCACTTCTGTAGATTTGTGATTTTGTTCTATCGACAAAAATTAAAATGTGATAAAGGTGAAGAGTGCAGCTTTTGTACAAAATTTTTGTATTTTTTTCGCAAATGTAGTCAGATTCTATAAATCTGCACAATGAATAAACTAAATTACCTTCATTAAAGATACTTCTTTGTATTTTATGGTTTAATATAATGTAATAACTAAAGTCGCTCATGACTCAGATAGTTAAAACGACTGTTGTTTGTAAATAAAAAACCTTTTAGATTGTTTGTAGTGTGATAGTTTAAATACAGAGTGTTTTTTCAAATGCTTCATACTTTGGCTATGTCAAAACACAAAATTAAAATTTCGTGTTATATAGTTTTTAAATATTAGACTCTATCGATTAAATTTCCATAGTGACCGATAAATGGAAGTAATAAATTCCGAACAAAAATAGTGCAACCTATACTTATTTATTTAACAGCTGAAAAATTGCACAGGAAGGCTGCACGCCTCACCTTTATAACGCATTTTGGTTTTTGTAGATAGGATGCTCCGATCAGAAGATAACGACTTTTACCGTCGACTAAGTGTACACCTACATTGGAACCGTATTTCTCCCGATCCGATATCTGGCGACGTCGGCCGACGTCGAATTAAAAACAAACTCAAGGTATTAATCAGAGTGCCTATACTGCTTCGTCACGGAAGCAGTATAGGCACTCTGATTTAATACCTTGAGTTTGTTTTCAATCCGACGTCGGCCGACGTCGCCCGATATCGGATCGGGAGAAATACGGTTCCAATGTAGGTGTAAACTTAATAAAAATTTTATTTAAAAAATCGATTTTCCGCGCATAACTTCAATTAAAAATCACCACTTTTAGCAAGCGTTGCTTTTGAGAAAACGGCTCATTGGACAGAAAAAGTCTTATTTAAAATTTTTGTTTCAAATTATTGCAGTTTCAGTTCTTTTTTGAATAATTTTTTTAAACGGTACACATTATTTCTAAATTTATATTTTCTGTTTTCTTCCGATTGATTTTGAGGAGGAAACCCACGATAAGAAGTGGCAAATATTTTTGCATATTTCTTTAGGTACCAAAATTAACATTGTCAGCAAAATTCAGCATGTTTGTATGATTTTCAAAGTTTCAATGTTATTTTCGTCTCTGACGAATGACTATTTGTAATTGTTTAATTGTGGTACATCCAGTCAAAGATGCAGCTAGTACTTTAAAAAGCTATAACTTAAGACCTTTAAGTATGTATAGTAAAAAGTATAAAAAAAATAATTAGGAAGTTTTGTCCCACTTTATTTCAACCAATCCTTATCCTTACTTTCAAATTTGATCACTATGAAATCATCTGTAGAACTAACCGTCCAAATTTAGGAGTACCTAGTTTTAAAAAAAATTGTATTGGATTTATGTTTTAATGTCCTATGTTTATTTCAGGTCATTTACTGAATGGTCGTGGAGAGCTTTGGTGGGACGGACATGGTGACCACAGCAATAAGAAGAAACCTCAATTCATGTTAATTCAGGCCACTGGTAACTCAGTTTTTAAATACATTAAGGTAAAGAACTGTCCACATACATGTATTGGCATTTCGGATTCTCATGATATTACTCTTGACCACTGGACTATTGACAGCAAAGATGGAGATACAGTAAGTTGGACTTTTTTTTCATACAATATTCGGACAGTATTCGAACAGTATAGAGCCATTTATATTATTTTAAAATTATTTTTGTAGTGCTCAACATTTATCGAATTTATTATTGGGAATAAAAAACGAATTATAAAATAAAATTCGCTAAAATAAAAATCTCACTACATATTAACATAATAATATACATGAAATAAAAACTATAAGATTCCTGGGTATCAGTGAAGGGATTTCTTGAGGGAAAAGGTGATTTTCACGATGACCGTAGTTTACAGATCTCTGCTGCATCTGGTATTTAGTAGTTTTTAATATAAATAATGTTAACGTACTGGGGTCTGATGATAAGGTATACATTGCGTGCCTTGAAGCCAATAGCACAAAATTTACCATCATTAAATAATAAAAACTACTTAGAATTCTGACTATTGTCGCATTTCCCATATACTAGTAAAGAAGAGATTCAATATTTGCTTTAACTATAAAAAATAATAAAGAACACCCAAAGGTGTTATTGCAGAAGAACAAGATGGAGAAAAATAAATTGAAAAATTTTGAAATGAAAAACAGGAATAAAAACAAAAAAAAAATTCTAAAAAAAAAGAAAAATATAATAATAATTTTGGTAGACACGACAAACTCTTAGTTTATTCCTCATTTTTCGATAAATGAATGTAAAATAAAATTATCTGCAAATTATCCGTATATTCAGTCAGAAATTGTTAGATTTTTTGACACCCACTGTTTTTTTTACTTTTAGAAAGGAGGAGCTAACACCGATGGTTTTGATGTTGCAAAATCCTACAAAGTAACGATAAAAGATACTTCGGTATGGAACCAAGACGACTGTATCTGCGTGAATCAAGGTCAGAATTTGGTCTTCCAAAACATGCACTGTATTGGAGGACATGGCTTGAGCCTTGCAGCAGGAATGTGGAACACGTATGAACTGAACACTATTTACAACGTAACATTTAAAGATTCCATAGTGGAAAATTCACGTAATGGTATTCATCTTAAAACTATACCAGCAAATAATAATAAGGGAGAAATAAACCTTATAACATACGATAACATAAAGCTTATAGGTAAGTCAACAAAACAGTCTGTAATTAATTTTAATAAATCATTTATTCTCCTATTAATTATTAATATTTTATTTAAAGGACGGTGATCATGTGTACTTGAGTTGGTAACTTCAAAGTATCTACAAAAAATCTAATTTAAGAACAACACTTTTTGAACAAAGACCGCCAAAATAACTATACGTTATAATAAGAATTCTCTAATCTAAAATATTTGTTTTTTGAAAAGATAAAAAATTTGGGAATAGATAGCTGAAAGGTTTTATTTAAAAAAATGTTTAAAATTCTAAAGTACGTCCATTTTGCATAAAATTGTCAAAATTGAGGTATCTACTTTATTTGGGCTCATATATTGGGCTGTATATTATTCTTTGTGGATATCTCAGAGTTTACTCGTAGAAAGCTCTGAATGAAACCAAATCTTTATGTCATATTAGCAATTATTTTAAAAATAATGTACACCCACAGTACTTCATTTGGATTCAATTCAGGAAAATGCCAAATACCAATGTGAGTTTAATGTTAAAATGTCATTTCATTTATAGTGTATTTGCTTTGTAAATTGCAGAAAGCACATATTTGGCATTTTCCTGAATTTATTTCGAACGAAGTTTTATTGATATATAATTTAGTTTATTCATCTTATCACTCCAGAAAGACTAAAAAAGGGTATTATTATAACGAATATGAGACTATAAAATGATAAAAAGTACGGTGAATTATCATTTATTTATCAAAAATAACATCATGTTTACTCAATTTATTAGTGCATTGGTAAAACCTTCATCAGCTGATGTTAAATTAGATTCTGAATCTATAACATTTTCAATAAAGTCATTTATAAAGTCGATATTTTGAATTTATTGGAAGTTATAACCTGATGTATTTGTATCCTCCTCATTATCAGAACGTTGATATCTTCAATTTTTCATTGGTACAATTAACAGTTTGACAACGTCCACATGCAACTAATCCAGACTTTCTACTACTGCAGTTGTAAAAGTCTTTCTACTACTGCAGTTGTAGAAGTTTTTTACAATTAATTTAACAATTGGAGAAAATAATATTAAGAATTTCCGAAGGAGCGGGTGCTTGAGTCGTTTTTATTGGAAATAAAATGTGTTTTTATTTTTCCGAACCTTAATCTTCTGGGATTAATCTTTTGAAGCTAGCCAAAGTTGAATCTGATAATATACCATAAATAAATATTGTTGAGCAGCGGGGTGGTAAAAATATTATGTCGTAATTCATTCATAGGTACACTTTACTTAATTTGGAGCTTTATAAAAGCAAAAACGAAATAGTATGATACTCTTTTTCGTAAATAACTTTTGTATTTACACTTTCGGAATAGAAACACAACCGCTTTTTTTAATTGTTCATTGTGATTTTTTTCAAATAAGTAAATAAGCTCTTAAGCTCTGTGTTAATAAAAATATGATGTCGTGTCACAACCGCATAATTGATTTGCATATTAAAAGGTAACATATTTTTTTTAGGAATCTCTTATTACGCCATTAACGTACAAGAAGACTACACCAACGATGGACCAACTGGACATCCTCTAGGAAACATTCCCATTAAAAACTTACACATAAATAAGGTCTATGGAACAATGACTGGTTCAAATTCAGTTAAAGCATATATTCTTTGTGGAAGTGGGGGTTGCTCGAACTGGAACTGGTCTAATATCAATGTCTCCGGAGCTGCAAAATCAAATTCTTGTAATTTTAAACCAAATGGATTTAACTGTTAATATCTGTTTTTAAACCTTTAATATATTTTTACAAATAACATCTGCATATTTTAATATACTTAAATATATAGTCACATAGTAATCAATGTTTAGTTTGCAAAGTAATGGAATAATAAATGCTAATTTTATATGCGAGTACATACTATACCGTATTTTGTAAATACATTTAAGTAGTGAACAATAATAATACCAAACAGTATCAATAAAGTTTCTTTCTACAAAAATACATGCGATTTAAATATTCATTATGTATACGCTAAATACACAGTAAAATACACATATTGCTAGTTATGAAACTCTCGTATCTACTTCTATGTATAAAATAAATATATTGATAAGGAATTAAACAAAAACTAGTTTAAATCAAAACCAACTAATTAAACATATAAAAATAAAAAGAAAATAGTTATTTTCACAGAAATACCTTGGTTTAAGGACCTTACAAATCAACGGACAAAAGGCGAAAATTCTCAATTTTCGCTAAGCTCTGGCTGAATGTAATATAGAATTCCGAAGACCAAAATGATAATCGTGGAAAAGGCATTGGCAGGAGATACAAAAGTCTTAAGGGCATTTTTCAGGTGCACTTTTCTAAGTTTAAAAACAAAATTGATACGACTAGAGATATAACAACAGAATATACTGGATACCGTGAATTACGATTTTAGAGAAAACTAGCAAAATAGGTAACAATTTAGGACAACCTTAAATGGACAATAAACTAATTTAAACCATATATATTACCAAGTAGGACAGAGTGTTGATCTGGTAACAACTCCACTGACCGTAGTGTGTTGACTAATCTATCTAATATATATTATATAGTATAGTATATTATATAGTATCTAATATATGTTGGATAATCGCTTTTGCTAGAGTGTTGATTTAGTAGCAGTTTCTCACCGATTTTAGAGTGGTGATCTGAGACAGACCAATTCTGTGTCTAAGTATTGATTAGTCACTTTCCGCTTCTTGCCGGACCGAGTGTTGATGAATTTGTCCGTCCTTCCTTTTCTTCGGAACATGTTAACTACTACTACACCGTAATTGTCGTTTTAATTTGATGACATTAATCATATTTTATTTTTCGCCGGTATTAAGCAGTGGGGTCTTTGAGCCGTGCGTCGATATCTTCTCCGTAGGATTGGCATTTAAATTTTGTACATATCATTACGAATATAATTTTATGCTGTTGTTTATTTGTTTCACATATATTTTTCTTTTAATTAAAACTAAGTCTGCTGCCTAAAAGAGCTACCTGTTACAAAGGAAAATGACCCTTTTGTTGAACGGATGAAACGCAACCGAACAAACGAGTATCAAAAATTCAAAGGATTTTATACATAAACTTTACAAAAAGAGAAATGGACCACTTTAAAAAAATATTGCCTTTTTAGTTTATGTGGATTCTGTCACATATAAGTATACATTGTAATGAAAGAGTCGATGCAGCCACAAAATCTTCAGTTAACAACAAAGAGTTGACAGAAAACCTATTTATTAAAGATTTATATCACTAGATTAAGTCGACATTGACAGAACGGTGACTTCAGGAATGAAACCATTGTCCACAACATGTCCACATATTACTGGATATGTTGATCCAAAGTGAGGTAAGTGTTTTAACAGTTTAAGTGTACAACATATCTTAATCGAATGCCCGGCATATTCAAATAAGATGAAAGTGTAACTCAATGATAACTCGTCATGAGTGTTGGGAATTTACCTTTATTGAACAACCAGCAATTGACGGATTTGTAGTTTACTGTTTTTATTTGCGAAAAGACTCCTACAATATATAGAAACTCAAATTCCTACAATATATAAAACTAACAATATAAAAAAAAACTAATTAATTCCCATTACTTACTGTTCTCTTGCTGCCTGCTAAATTATTAAATTATTTAAATTTTTCCCTAATCGGTGACATTTTGTTTTCTGACGTTTTGACGTTTTGATATTATTATTATTATATAACAAATAAGGGCAGAGGAGCGAGCTCCTATTATGCCCAAAAAGCAAAAATAAACAAAAATAAGATATATCCTTATAAAACTAATACTAATTATAAAGTTAAGTAGTTAAACAATTACCAAAAATTGAATTGTGGACAATAAATAAATAAATAATGCTGCTCGAGAAAAAATATCCTATCCTATAAAAAAAATTAAGAGCTATCAAGTTTATTTTTAAAGATGTTAACACTATCTGCCGATATGGTGTCTTGGTCCAAATTGTTCCAGATATTAAAGATTCTGTTTGGCAAGAAGTTCGCCCTGGACCTTGCAGTAGTTTGTTCCCTCTTTAATTTGTATCGATGGCCACTTAATCTTTCGTCTTGATTCAAAGTGAATATGGTATGTAGGTTTCCAAAATTATGTTAAAAAATACGGAAGGACATAATTAGGTCACCTCGAAGACGTCGCTGCTCGAATGTCGTAAGATGAGCCATGAATAGTCTATCTTCATAGTTAGGTCTTACACGGCCGTATGCCAGTCTTGTGGCTTTATGCTGAACGTTTTCAAGTAGGATTTTATCGCGACTGAGATCTGGATTCCAAAATGGTCCGGCAAACTCAAGAATAGGTCTAACGTGTATTGACTAAAGTTTACTAACAGAGGTTAGAGATAGGCGTGCAAAACATTTACGGATCAAAAACAGTTTCGAGTTAGCACGTTTACACACCGACAATATGTAATCAGACCAATTTAAGTCACTATTAATTATCACTCCGAGATCGTTGTGTGAGGTTACAGAGTTTAAAGGATGTTCATTAATAAAGTACGGCAGTGATGGGTTATTTTTACCGATATGTAAAACAACGCATTTTTCAATGTTAAGCGGAAGTAACCATTCTAAGGACCATTTGAATATTGCGTCAAGATCTTGTTGAAGAATATGTTGGTTAATAGTTGGATTCACATATAACTTAGTGTCATCAGTGTAAATGGAAACCTTACTGGATACAATAAGCGGAAGATCACTAGTGTAGACACAAAAAAGTAGCGGTCCAAGTACTAATCCTTGTGGAACTCCACTCTTGACTGGCTTATCTAGTGAGTGGTCTTCCCCAACACGAACCCTGAAGTATCTGTCGGATAGAAAATCTTGTATCCAAATGTTTAATTTTCCGCGGATACCATAGTGATCCAATTTAGCTAGTAATCGACGTTTTGGAACACGATCGAAAGCTTTGGAGAAGTCTAAGTAAACTACATCGACAGGATTCCGATTGTTTAAAGATAATGACCAATCATTTACACAATGAAGTAAGTTTGTGATCGTTAAACGACCTTTGATAAATACATGCTGTTGGTGGGGGATGACATTTTCTTGAAGAAGGAACTCGGACATATCTTCCGAAATAATCGATTCCATGTCCTTGCTGACAATAGGAACCAGGCTGATTGGACGATAATTATTGCAATCAAGTTTATTACCTTTCTTGAATACAGGAGTAACTGAAGCCAATTTCCAGGACGAGGGGAGGGAACCTTGATTAAAAGAAGCAGTCATTATGAGAGATATAGGGATGGCTACAGAATCTGCACATTGTTTGAGGAAAAAAGAGGTAGAGTCCGTCTAATCCAGGTGATGAATTATTTCGCAGTTTCCTTAAATGATGTTTAATTTCATCCGGTGTGAAAGATATATTGTCAAGAGTTTTAGACAAACGAGGGCACATTATTTGAGGAATGGTATCGTTAGATTCATCTGTAAAAACTTGAGAAAAGTATAACGATAAACATCCCGAAGATTCGTTATTCGAAGAACATAAAGACCCATCAGCTTTTTGAAGCAATGGTATGGAGACTTTAGAAGATAAAGATGTACGAATGTACCAATAAACTTTTTTACTATTACTACTTGCAATGATAGATTCTTCAAATAAATATTATATTTGACAATTATTTTTATTAATTATTATATTTGACAATAGTTTATGGAACAGTAGCAACAGGAAATTTTGGGTAACATGATGAACTTAACTACAAATTAACTAAATACATTTTATAAAAATAATAAATATTCGTAACAATGAGTATCTAGAAGAGAACTAGAAGAGTGTCTAGAAGAGTGTCTATTCGTCAGTTTTAAGTTTTTTTTTTAATTAATAGAAATATATAACCAAATATAAACATCAGTTCGTGTAAAACTAAATGTATAAAAGGTAATGATGTACTCAGTTTAACTCAGATCCATGTGTGTAAAAATCTATGTAGGGAATAATATATGTATGTTAAAATCAGTTTATATTAAGTATCCAGAAATATTTAACAAAAAATGTAATACATACTGGAGCTAATAACCACATAGATTGATGCACCTAAAATGTAAATAATAAAAGATAACATAGATCTAGTGACTCCAAAAATATATGGTATTCATCCTCTAGACCTGTATAAACTAGTAAAGGGTTTCCGAATAGTGGAATGAGTATCACAAGTGACTAAAATATGTACAATAAGCCAACTTGTTGTAGAACGACCGGTTGAAAACAAATAATAACACAAAAAAAATGAAAAAATTTGCAGGAATTTGTTCGATATAGATTTTATGCTGTTAATTTTATATGTCCCGTCAAATTATTTTTGTTAGTTAAAATGGTGGTTTATTTCTATTAACCAGATAAGTTAATATTTTGCCTATACCTTAACTTAGGTACGTTTAAGTAACCTATTAAGGTCACGTACCTCTAAGTTTGATCTACATTTGTACCCAGATAAAGTTGTAAAAACATGTGCTTAAGGTATTTATGGAATTTGCGCGATATTTATCCTATATACTATACAGCCTTGTGTCAAATCCTTGGTATTGAACATTAAATCTTTTAGTTAGCACCTTACTTTTTTAACAAGAGGAATTGTTACTGCTTTAAAATTTTAACTTATGATATAAATATATTTTAACTTATGATATCTGGAAGATCGCCAGCATCCGTTTTGTATAATAAATTTCTTTAGCGTTAACCCTTTAACCGGAAAACCTAAAATAGTAA